AAAAAAAACAAGCATTAGTTGCATGGAGCAACTCAAGCCCAATAGTGCGTGTTCAGCTTGCTGCCGAGTTCCGCACTGAGATCTCTGAAATAAGTCGGTGTACCATCGTGGACAAGCCTTCCGCGTTCTCCACTCGCGCCAGATCCTGTCGATTCGCTACCGATGTCACGGAAGCTGCAACAAATTGTAATAGTTAGGGGTAAATCATGTAGACAGGCATGCTTGGCAAATCTGAATGATAGGTTTGGACATACTTCTCAGTTTTCCAGTTGTTCCTCCCACGCTTTGATAGATTGGTGGCGGAATAACAAACTGATGGCACGCCAGTGGAGCCACATACCACCTGAAGTGATGTATGATGCTCAAGTCAGCAAGCATTCAATTTATGCAAAGCTGTCCGTATTACTCAAAACTTGGTCGCAATGTACAGTACCCGTATGCCTAATTGCGGCCCTCAGGACAACCTGAGCTCACAGAGCAAAAAGTAACTTTTGTAAATTGCTGAAGTGGCAACTTATTCTTTTCAACGCATTGAATAACTATGCGCATAATCGGTCAAGCTAACATTACCTGATGCCCATAGCACAGAATGTTGGTGATTTGCTCCAGTTCATCGAGTGATAACAGCTGCCCCGATGTTCCTTTACTGTGCATGACCAAGGTGCATCGAAGTGCACGGGCAGTTCCCTGTAATTATCGGTCTGATTGAGGCGCAACAAATGAAAACGTAAAATTCTAACTTGTAGCGCTTTTTGTGGCACGATCAAGAATTCGTTATATGCCGGATGGGTTGCATCCTCCACAACTGTCCCACATGGAACGTTCTGATCCATAGGACGAGCCTGCGAGTCGATTCTGAAAAGAAAAACTCTTACAAGAAATGGAAAGCAAAACTATAGGGTTCTGTTGATAGTGAATGCTGCAGATCTTTCACATTTCAAAACAGATTACTTCATCCAGGCTTACCTTGTCGGCACAATGCGGTAATTCGAATTTGTCTGCACTACTAGACATGTAAGAGATGGAGAGTACATCCCGTGGGAATACATCTGGTTCACTTCCACAAAGGCTTTTTGCAGCTCAATCATCTCTTTGTGCGCCTAGAAGAAGTACGATTTCCAGAAATTGTCGGGCTTTAAGTACTCCGCACTATTCAATACCTCTACGATTGTCAAAAAGCTCACCTTCTTGAACTCGCCCTCGGAACATCCACAGCGGAATACGATGATGTCAGAAGGCAATTTATTCGTTTCTTTGTGGAAAGTCATTAATGCGCCGGCAAAATTACTGCAATGAGATAATGAAGCGTCGGAATTCACCCATGGAGGGAAGCCCTCAAAAAATCATAAGCTCGCAAGTTCGGAGTATTCCAAAGTTACTAGTTATTCCAAAGTATGTTGAGGGTGTGGCTAAGCCAGCTTACCCAGAAAAAATTTCTTTTGTCCTTCTCCCATCTCGAAGAAGTTCAGAAAAAGTAACTTTGACCCAATAGTCTTTCCAAATTGACTCTGATTTCGCTGTCAGCCACATTCAACTGATATCATGAAGAACGCTGCCGCTGTGTGGCACCAATGATAT